AAGTTATACAAGGAAATGTTTTTCTTTCTCTTGTGCTTCTCTTTTTCCCTTTCCCTGTTTGATTCTTTCAATATATAATATTAGGTATGCAAACTCAGGAACCCAAGAAAATATTATATAATATATAATTTTATAGAATATATTATATAATATTTTTGCTTCACAGAAATCACAATCTATATTGTATAGAAAAAAAAAGGTACAAGTTGAGTAGAACTGAACCTTTTGTCAACTAAAAATACAAAAATAGTATGTAACAAGATAATGTTTGGAAAACAGATGGTGTTTTCTCTTTCTAGTAAAAACAGCAACAATAATTCCACATTAATTTTCTGTTCTTCCCCAACTGCATTTTTAATTAGCATACATTTCAACAGTATATGTGAAAAAAAATTCTAAGTCAGAAGTACTTACACAATTTCTTCCTAAGAGTTTTGCTTAATTTACTGGCCAAGAAAATGTGAGTCAAGAAACAAAAGATGCACACGTATAATTACAAAGTCTTGAGCAGATATGACCCAGCAAAATCTGTCATTACCTCTATTATTAGTCTCCCTTCTCCCAAAAGGCCAAAAAAAAAAAAGTCTTTCTTAAGTGAATAAAATTCCAACAACTCAGCTTCATTTAACCTAGGAGTAGAGTGAGTCATCTGTAAATCCTGGGGTGGTCCAGATAGCACAGATAATTTCAGTGACTGCTGGAAACGGCTGCTGGTCCCAAATCAGGCAGAATAGTCAATCTTCGGGGACAAGAAAGGAAACAAAGTTCAATCTTCTAAAATACATAACGGCAAGTCCAGGAACGTGGTCGGACATAATCCAGAAATGTGGGCTAAAAAGGGGAAAAAAGAGTGGAAGAATAGTTTATTTGCGTGAATTGTATGTATGGTTTGTGGAGACAGAGTACTGCTGTCATGTGCCATCAAGTGGTTTTTAACTTAGAGCAACCCCACATAACAGGAGTAGAACTGCCCCATGGAGTTTTCTGGGCAGGTCTTTATGGAAGCAGATCTCCAGATCCTTCTCACTCAGAGCCACTAGCTGGGTTCAAACTGCCAATCTCTCTCTCTTTTTTTAATGTGATTTGGGTGAAAGTTTACAAAGCAAATTCACTTTCCATACAGCAGCTCACATACACTTTGTCTCATGACATTGACTGCTATTTACTACAATGCAACAGTTCCCCTCCTTCTTCCTCCCGATAGTTACCTCTTCTCTGTGTCCTTCCCTCCCATGCACTCCTGCCCCCTGAGCTGTCTCTCTGCGCATACACCACCCTTCTAGTCTCCCACGATTGATCTCTCCAAGCAGTGTATCTATCTAATGTAAACATTCAGCTCATATGCCTGTCTTTTGTTTGGCTGGAAGTCACAGGAGTGGGTTCAATTCCAGACCTGAAAGGCAGCTAGGGGCCATAGTCTCACTGGTTCTATCAGGCTCTATTAGACCAGCAAACTTGGTCCTTTTCTTTTTTTTTTTTTTTAAATGATTTTTAGTTTTGTTCCACACTGTTCTCCCACTCTATCCAGGATCTCCTACATAGATCCCCCTCTGAGTGGTTGACAGTGGTAGCTGGGCACCATCTAGTTCTTCTGGTCTCATAGTTATAGCCTGAGGATCGCATGGTGCACCAGTCTTTGGTTTTCTTTAATCTTCGTTGCTCTGGATGAGAGACCCATTATTGCATCTACATGGCTGCTTGCAAGCTTTTAAGATCCCATTCGTTACTTGCCAAAGTAGGATGTGGAACAACGTTTTGTGCACGATGTTAAGCCAATTGTGCTTGATGTCGCCTGCAACCATAGTCCCGAGCCCACAGGTCCAACTACTTGCTCCCTCTGGGTAGCTGGCTATGGTGAACAAATGACTACAACCTTGTCCCCTGTCAGCTCTACTATATACCTGGGAATTCTTATAGAACATACACAAATACACTTGTAGAAACATTGTCTGCCAACCCTATACATGGGAACACTCCCCACACTGCACAGACATACCTAACAGTTCAGCCTGTCCACTCATCTATCTACCCGTATATCCATGTTTGCCTTCACTGACAATGCAGTACTGTATGTGCAAAAGGGTTCATCTTTGTTGTCTGTACCTCCCATTTACCTCTGTCTTCCTCTGCCTCAATGCCACCATATTGATCACTCACATTGGGTACATTGCCCTTCTCTTCACCCAAACCAATAGTTGTCTCTACCTATCTAACAGTGTCCCCTACTCTCCCCTCCTATCCCTGGTAACCAATAAAGAAAATTTGCTTACATATATAAACATTTCCTTGACTTTTTACAATAACAGACTAATACAATATTTGTCCTTCTGTGACTGACTTATTTCACTTGTCCTCCAAGTTCATGCACGTTATGCATTGTTTTGCAGATTCTTTAGGGTTGCGTAGCACTCCATTGTGTGTATGTACCATAGTTTTGTTATCCATTCTTCTATCGATGGGCACCTAGGATGTTTCCATCTTTTTGCTGTTGTAAATAGTGCTACAATGAACATGGGTGTGCATATATCTGTTCTTTCCTGGCTCTCACTTCTTTAGGATATATACCTAGTAATGGAACGGCTGGGTCAAATGGTATTTCTAATTCCAACTTTTTAAGGACTAACCATACTGCTTTCCACCAGCAGTGTATGAGAGTCCCAAACTCTGCATCCTTGCCAGCATTTGCTGTGTTCTGTCATATTAAACTTTGCTACTAGTGCTGGGGCAAACTGCCTATCTCTTGGCTAGCAGCTGAGTGCTTAACCATTGGACCATATCAGGGATCCTTGTGGGAGGTAGGCAGGGGGTGTTAAAAGTTATATATTGGTGTGTGTTGCCCAGCCACTCAACCAGGGCCAACCAAGTTGACACACAAACTTAACCACCACAATTCCACTCCTTCTCAACTTGCCAACTGTACAGATCTTCAATGGGTGTTATCAGTACAGACCTCCTTCACTGGGTGACTTTAGTCCCCTAGTTCCTAAGTGGCAACCTCACCCCCCTGGCCTGGCGGGCCCCATTCATCTCCCTCTTGGGCATGGCAACCCTGTCCCCTCACTCTTAGGCAGCGATTATGACTCCATCCCACTAGCTTACATGAATGAGCAGCCCCACACTCCAAAACCAAGCTGGTAAAGGTCTAGCTCTTTGAAACCTAGGGGGCTGTGGTGGTTCCAAGGGTAGGCCATGGTCCTACCCTTGAAGCTAAGGCAGCTCTGCTTCTCATTTCCTTGGTCTCTCTACTTCTGCCAATTAATGTCTGAGGGCAACCCACTCCACCAGGAATCTTCCTGCCCAAGGGACACTCAGTTTTCTTGCTCCCTGGGCTGGTCAACCTGCTACTACTCCATCTCATGCCAGTTCCTTCTACCAATTAATACCTGAACTCCAACCCACTCCACCAAGAAGCCGCCTACACAATGGAATCTGGCTTTTTCCTCCATTGGCTGGTTAAGCCTGTTGCTGCTTAATGCCAGTCACTGGGCTCTGCTACTACCGTCTCTCATGCTGGTCTCTTGATTCTGCTCCTGCCATCCCTCTTCCAGTCTCTTGGCTCTGCTCCTGCCATCTCTCATGCTGTGTGCTGGGGTCTCTCTGCTGGTGTCTTGGGTCAAGGACCCACTCCACTACTGTTTCTACATTTTAGATATCTGTCAGAGCAGCACCCCACTCTCTCAGTACCATATTCTGTTCTGGTTACCTAGTGTCACTCTGACAGGAATACATACCACAAATGGGATGGCTTTAACAAACAGAAGTTTATTCTTACAATTTGGAGGCTTTAAGTCCAAGTTTAAAGTACCAAGCTCTAGGGGCTGGGTGAAAAAAGTCCCCCAGCCTTGGACTTCAGCTCTGCCTCCTGCTCCTGGCCCACTCAAGCTAGAGGCTTTTCTTCACTCAGACAGCTGCTAGCTGCTGAGGTTGACAAGCCCAAGGTTGACAAGTAAAAAGGCACAGTTCCAATGTTACCAAATCACACAGCAGGCCATTAATTCAAGTCCACTGGAAGTCCCAAGGTCAGCAAAGCATGGCAGGCTGCTGAACAACAACATGGTGATATGCAGAGTTCAAGAGTGCCATAAGCTAGAGAGCATTTCCAAACTGTTTCTTATATACGGGAAGCAGACCACATCCCTAAAGCAGATGCTCAGCTGCTTGTGGTAGATCCCACCATGGAGCTGATTGCCAGTCTCATCACGGGGAATAACTAACACTAGCTGCCCAGCCACTCAACCAGGCCTAGCCAAGTTGACACACAAACTTAACCATGATAGGATGCTTTTTGTTGTCATTTTTTCCATTGTTATTAAGTCAGTCTCAACTCATGGCAACCCCTCGTGTGTCAGAACAAATTTGCACCATTAGGTTTTCAATGGCTGATCACCAAGCCTTTCTTCTATGACGCTTATGGGTGGCCCTGAACCACTAACCTTCCAATTAGCAGTAGAGTATGTCAACCATCGGTGCATCCAAGGACTCTTTATATATTGCACATCTCTAAAATACCTCTCAGCATTTCAGTGACTTTAAAATTATAAGTAGTTCATTCAAAATATGTTAACTTTATCTGCAGTACAAACTTAATTAATTTAGAAGCTTTATATGAAGCTCCTGAAGTACAATAAAGTCATAAATAAAGAACTGTATGGGCTTGTGGCCAAACCCTAAATAGGAACTACCTCTTTCTGTATCTTGCCATTTTCTTTTTAGTAGCATAAAGCATAAATAGGAGCACTGGTAGCATAGTGCCTAAGGCACTTTACTGCTAACCAGAAGGCTGGTGGTTCAAATCCACCAGCCACTCCTCGGAAGGAAGATGGGGCAATCTACTTCTGTAGTGATATCGCCTCAGAAACCCAAGGAGGGATCACTGTGAATCAGGTCTGACTTCACAGCACATAACAACAGAGTATAAACAGTGGTAGAAGGTTAAGAGGATTATACAAATACATACATGCACACAAATGACAATATTACAAGGTTTAAAACTACTGAATTATATAAAGGAGGAACAGAGAAGTACAATAATAAGAAAAGAGAAAAGAGAAAATAATTTGAAAAAAAGTTTCATGGGTTTTGATAGGAGGATAGAATCTGACATGTGGAATGTAAGTGAGAAGAGTAGCATGACAAGAAACAATTATAGGGAGTTCAAAGTGAAGAGCAGTTAGTTTAGACACACAGAGTGGATTAACGTGAAACAAGGAGGGAGAGTTAAGTGTTAATAATAAAAACGGGGAACAAAAACCAGAAATGGCAACCACCATCAACCATTAGGAAAGGGATTGGTGCAGGAGATCCTGGATAGAGTGGAAAAAAATGTGGAACTAAACTCAAAATCATGAAAAAAACCAGGTTCACTGGTCTGACACAGCTGGGTAAGCCCCCTGAAACTATGGGTCCTAGTTATCCTTCAGGTCTGGAAATGAAATCACTCCCATGGCTTCCAGCCAAACAATAGGCATATAGGATGAACACTGACACCAGGCAGATACACTCCTTAGAACGATCAAGCATGGGAGAACTGGAGGTCAGTATCTGCACCAGGAGATAACATGAAGGGGGTGGGGGGTGGGGGGTGTATAGGAAAGAAGGACACAGGGAAGAGGTAAATACAGGGAGGAAGTGGGAAGAGAGCTGTTACACTGAGGGGAAGTGCCATCAATATCATGGAACAAAAGGTGTTTGAACTGCTGTATGGAAAATGAATTTGCTCTGCAAACTTTCACCCAAATCACAATAAAAATTAAAAAAGGAAAAAATAAATGGGACATAGAAAGTGAAGAGGCTTTGGGAGAGAAAGTGATTAATCTGATTGCAAATATTTTCAGTTTTAGGTGCCCATGAGACACATCCAGGCAGATATACCAAAAAGCTAAAATTCTTAATAGAATATTTTAGGGCTGGAGATTTAGATTTGGGAGTCACCCACGCATAGCTAAAAATGACAGCCTTAAGGCTAAATAGACTGATGGATGAGAAAGAAACAACAGCAAAAAAGTAAGAATCATGGGAAATGGTACCCTAGGCATATCAGTACTGTTTGAACTTTTTTACAAAGATTTTCCTACTTTGGAAGGAAAGTAGCAAAATATATTTGGGTGGTGGAAGTGGAGGAAGAAACATACATATTATTAAGGAAAACCCTAAGAATATCTACATTTTCAGGTGACTGGAAGAAGATTAGAGGAAAGGAGCTTAAAAGAAAGAAAAAAAAAAAAAAGGTCTGTAAAAGAGAAAAGAAGAGAGCCAATGGAGTGTTCAATTTGAAGAAAACCAAGCAAAGGCAAATTTTCAAGGACAATGCAATAAGACCAGATGATATATTAATTCTTTTCCTTCATATTTGCCGGCCCTCAACACTAATGCCTTTTAACCTCCACTATTATTCTTCTCAACACTATCCACCAACTCTCAAAAACAGGGACAATTACATTACTTTTCCACTCCCATATGACTGAGGACTCACATTTTTCAGAGGACAATGCTGACGTGCATACCACTCTTGAGAATAAAAGCACACGATGATTCCATGGCCCAAGAAAAGGGAAATCCACATCATAACATTCCAAATTGGCCCTTTCCGACTATCATTGACAATGAAGTTGAAAGCCACTAAAATTGAAAGAAGATAAAAAAGATGAGAGGCCTCAGACATCTGCTGTCATCACTGAATAATCACAGTGAACATCTACTATTCCTATACATGTTTTTTGTTACCCATTGCTCCTATAAATAAAAACAAAACTTAAGAGCTGAAGTTTAATAATCGATGCTTTGGAAAATCAGAATGTATTCAACAGGTGAAACTATATTTCACAGATTATTCATATCTGTACTTCTCCATAACTACCTACCTCAAAAATGATCAGTTTTCCAGGAGGGGAGAACTGAGTACACACTGACAATGTCTATGAATGGGGAGGTTGTTTACACAGATAGCTTTCATGATCCTAGATGTATGTTACCAATAGTCTTCAAGAGGTTACATAATTCATTTCCTTCAAAGTATAAGTATCTTGAAACAGAACTGAATATAATTATTCAGATGGTCAGTGTTCTTACCATCTGGAAAACATTGGCTTAAAATGTTTTGTTATTATATATCTACTTTTTTATATTGATTTTATAGTTTATTTTTGTCTGATTGTCTCTTTTAGCAGAATAGCCAGGAATTGTGGCACGCCAAGATACTTACTTCCAAAGAACATGAAGAGCACGAAGAGCACTGGATAGAAAAAGCTCAGACAAAGAGCCAAGGCATACTCGTGCACGATGGCAGACACGGCAAACACAGCTAACATGGCCGCAGATTTAAACCTCTTAGTGAAAAACTAAGGAAAATATTAAAAACAAATAAAACATGAATTATATATGATTTACAACTGTCACTTGCTAAGAAGAAAAAAAAAAAAAACCTCACTGCTGTGAAGTCGAATCCGACCCACAGTGAGCGACCCCTCCTTGGGTTTCTGAGGCGGTATCATTCCAGAAGCAGATTGCCCGATGTTCCTTCCAAGGAGTAGCTGGTGGGTTTGAACCACCAGCCTTCTGGTTAGCAGTCAAATGCCTTAGGCACTGCGCCATAAAGTCACCTATTAATTATATTAGGTTTACAATTTATGAGCATGAATGTTTACACTGATTCTGCTAGAGTAAGACCCTTTCAAAAACGTTAACGTTAAACAACCTGAACAAATTGTCAAAAATATCACCTCATACTTACATGTCACTATGGTTGACAAAACATGGTTTTTACATACAAAGAACACGTCAACTCACAATCTCGTAACACTCTATGATTAGAAAAAAGGACAAGAATCCACTCCATTTTTACAGGTAACAAAAGTGAGGTTTAGAGAGGGTGGTGGTGGTGTTGTTATTTGCCATCGAGTCGGTCCCGACTCATAGCAACCCCTCCTTGGGTTTCCGAGGCAGTATCATTACAGAAGTAGGATTGCCCAACCTTTCTTCTGAGGAGTGACTGGTGGGTTTGAACCGCCAGCCTTCTGGTTAGCAGTCAAGTGCCTTAGGCACTATGCTACCAGAGCTCCTTTAGAGAGGGTAAGGGATGTGTTTTGTCTATATGTGAAACTATGATTATAAATAACAGAACTAGCACTCAAATTCAATGCTTTCTGCATCACAACATGCTGTCACTTAGCCAATGCTGCCCTCACGTAAAATTAAAAAGCAGGATTCAGAGATGGCAGGGTTAACAGCCAAAAGACTCAAAATAGCATTTCATCAGTCGAAATATAACCTGGTGTAAAGAATGTCTCAAAGACATATATGTTACTTATTGAAAAGATGCAAGTCACCACATAGGTGTTTCTCCACTTCTTTAATAAGAATTTTCACCACTTCTTAAAAAGAATCTCCATATCCTAAACAACAGTTAGCTAAGTCTTGCTTCTTACCCAGAGAAAGTCCTTATAAGCATAGTAATATAGCCAGTCATGGACCACCACATTCCAGGTCCTGTAATAGTTGGAGTATGATGTAGAATTCCACCAATCCTGAAGATAAAAGTGAAGGTACAAAACTAAACAAAAAACTAAGCACCAAAGTAAACAAACAAAAACCCCTGCATAATCATAAAGAATACACACACATGACTTAGGACCCAGAGTATGTTATGATAAATTGTTACAACACAGTGAGCTAATAAATAAAATCTTAAAAGCTATTCTTGTTATTAGTGTTCCATAGACATTAATTCTAGTTCTACATATTAAGTCCCTAATTCACATATTATCATCATCATACCAGTTATGATGGTACTCTGTTAATCTCTGCCAGTAAATATGTAATGAAAACTACAACACACAGAATCATTTAAATCTAACGTTCATTTAAACATTAATCAGTAAAAGCCAATCTTACCTTGCTAAAAATAATGGAGAACTCTAAGGCTATGTGGACTAGACAGAATGCTAACAATAAATACCTGTTTGGTATACCAATGTTCATTGCAGCACTATTCACAATAATCAAATGGTGGAAACAACCTAAATGTCCATCAGTGGACAAATGGGTAAACAAAATGTGGTACATATATACAATGGAGTACTACTCAGCTATACAGAAAAAAGAAGTCCTAATATATGCTACAACATGGATGAATCTTGAAAACATTATGTTTAGAGAAGTCAGTCAATGACAAAAGGACAAATATTGAAATAATTCCACTTACATAAAATAACAAGAATAGATAAATGCTTATTAGTAGTTACCAGGGGAAGAAGGGAAAAAGAACTCATTATCCACTGCCATTGAGTCAATTGTGACTCATAGCAACACTACAGGACAGAGCAGATCATAGGGCTTCCAAGGCCATAAATCTTCATGAAAGCAAACTGCTTCATCTTTCCCCTGCAGAGCAGCTGGTCTGCTGACATTATGGTTAGCAGCCAATGCTTTAACCACTGCGCCACCAGAATTCCTCAGGGAGACGGAAAGTAGGAGTCATTCTTTAGGAAGTACTGAGTTTCTGTTTGTAGTGACGGGAAATTTGGTAATGATTATGAGCGATGGTTGTACAACATGATTAATATAACTGATATCACCAAATTGTACACCAGCAAAATGCTGAATGTGGTCACTCCTACAGAGTTGTCAATTTCAAAGGTCTAAACAGTCTGAGATATCTCATAATGTCCTGTGAACAAGTGTTTTCCCACTTTAATTATCAATAGGTCCTCAAAGGATGCAGCAAAAACCATCTGCTATGTGAAGGGGGCAGAGACTATGCATAGGTAAAAGAAACAAAGAGGCTGAGCTAAGTAACGTATTTTAGAATTCTGGACTCAATATTGGTAAAACTGTGGAAATGAAAAATACTTTACAATTTTTATGTTAAAAACTTACAGCACTCAAATGCTTCCCAATGAGGACACACATAAAATGTAAAAAGAAAGATGATTCCAAGTACACATTACCTTATAAAACATCCTGTCACCAAAGCGCAACATCTCAGCAAAGGCATTGAGCCAGCAATGCAAAAAGGCGAAGAAACTAAGGAAAAGAATCAGCACACCTAAAAATAAGATTGGCAATATTAAGACTAGTTCAAATAGCTCACATACTGAGGAGTTAATTATATGCTTCATTTGCTTACTAAGAATTATTTTGTAGAAGTTACACATATGGCTTAATTTGGTACATAAGACTGTTTTAAAAATATGATACCCTCTAACCAGATGTTTTCAACTGGGGGAGATTTTGCCCCCAGAGAATATGTGGTGAAACAAGCAGAATGAATGATGTTAGGACACTGAGGTATGGCCAAAGCCACTGGAGGAGAAAAAGAAAAGTAGCAGGAGATATTTTAAAAAGCAAGTGGTCTGGTCAACAGCATCCAATGTTTTGTGGAAGTCAAACAGGATAAGGGCTAAATCATCTACTGGATTTAGAATCAACTGGTTACTAATGACAATAAGAAAGGCCATTTTACTAGCCTGGTAGGATTAGGAGCATGAGTATAATGAACTGAATGTGAAGAGAAAGTATAAACATGAACTGTCCACACTTCAGAGAAAGCAAAACTTGAGTGAAAAGCCAGAGGATAAGTGAAAGAATTGGCCTGATACTAGAAGGATAACACCTTACTTTTGAGATAAGTGGAAAAGAGATAAAGATGGGTATAGATGTGTAGATGAGTTTATTCAAACGAAGAGGTAAATCAAAGGCAGTCATATCCAATAGTTTTTTATTTTCCTTGAGAATGAATGAATGAACAAATTAACCAGTATCCACATTACCTGGCAACATGGAGTTAAATACACATAGGACCAACACGCGGGCACTGAAGGGCTCCTGTTTGATATTCCCAAACAAGGGGAAACAGAGCCTTTCAAAGACGTAGTACACATAAAAAATGCAGCCAAAAGTCTGAAATGTAACAAAGATATAATTAATAATAATGGCTTCATGAAGAAAGATTGAGAGTGATAAGTTTTTTTCTCCACATAAAAATACATATGTGACCCTTAAAATAATGTTTACACATATATTCCACTTAACCCTAGTATATAAGATTGCCAGTGTCCCTGGGTGTTGCAAATGGTTTGCACTCAACTAACTACTAACCAAAAGGTTGGCAGTTCAAACCTACCCAGCAATGCTGTGGACAAAGGCCTGGTAAAGATTACAGCCAAGAAAACTCTGTGGAGCAGTTCCACTTTGTAACATATGGGATCGCTATGAGTCAGAATCAACTTGATGGCAAGGGGTTTGCTTTTGGTATATAAGACTGCCAAACCATAATCCTTCAAAGGCATTGCTCAAACTAGTTTTTACCATTCCTTTTCTAACCCTTTACCAACGCACATTTTAAAAAGTCAGACTCTTTTAGAACCTGTTTTTCCTACAATATTAAACCCATAACAAAGAAATCTGTTTCATAAACAGTATCGTAGTTAGACAATTATGGGATTTTTTGATACTGATCATTAGCAGTGATGAGAGAGTCCAAACCACACCCACATCACAACTTTACATATATACAAATTAGGGATGAGTGTTATGATGAAGAAACCAAATGGGATGAACTAAAAATATGTATTTTTTAAAGTGCTAAGAATAGTTTAAAAGACTTCATTGTCTCAACAAAAATAGTTCTACAGCTCACAGCAGACACAAATTTACCAACACATAAGATGGATTAAATTGTTATTATAAATAGTAATTCCTACCTCCCACCAAACACACATCAGGCATTAGGCAGTTAAAAAGAAAAAAAGTACCTGTGCAAACTGTGTAGCAACATAACCCCATCTTATAGTGGGGGTCCTAAAAAAAAAAAGAAACAAATTAAGTTTTCTAAATAAAGTAAATAATTAGACTTTAATAAATACAGATATAAAATTATTGGCAATGGCATATCTATAAAGGGGCTAATCTCTAAAATAAGAGAAAACTTCAACCCCTCAACAACAAAAAGGCAAATAAGCCAATCAAAAACTGGGCAAAAGACATGAACAGACACTTCACCAAAGAAGACATTCAGGCAGATGACAAACACATAAAGAGATGCTTATGGGAGCTCTGGTAGCATAGTGTCTAAGGCACTTGACTGCTAACCAGAGGCTGGAGGTTCAAACCCACCAGCCACTCCTCAGAAGGAAGATGGGGCAATCTACTTCCATAGTGATACTGCCTGGGAAACCCAAGGAGGGGTCACTATGAGTTGGGTCTAACTTGATGGCAAACAACAACAAGCAATTATCAGATGCATGCAAATCAAAATTACAATTATACCATCTCACCCTACACAAATGGCACTGATCAAAATACAGAAAAACAACACATGCTGGTGAGGGTATGAGAAAGTTGGAACTCTTACACACTGCTGGTGAGACTGAAAAATGGTACAACCACTATGGAAAATAGTATGGCACTTCCTCAAAAAGCAAGAAATAGAAATACCATATGATCCAGCAATCCCACCCCAAGGCATATATCCCAGAGAAATAAGAACAGTGACACAGACATATATACACCCATGTTCACTACTGCATTTTTCGCAATAGTAAAAAGATGGAAACAACCTAGGTGTCCACCAACAGATGAATAAACAAAATAAAACATTTTATAACATGGATGGATCTAGAGGACAATATGCTGAGTGAAATAAGTCAATCACAAAAGGATAAATATTATATACCACTTTTATAAAAATCAAGAATAGATTTACACACAGAAAGCAACATTCTTTGATGGTTACGAGGGATGGGACAAGGGGGTAAGCAGAATCATTAACTAGATAGTAAACGTGTTTATTCTGGCAAAGAGAAAGACAATACACAATACAGGGGAAATCAGCACAACATGACAAAGGTACATGAAGACACTGAGAGTTATTCAAGAATAAAGGACAATTATGGTAAATATTAGGGGAACTCTGGCAGCATACTGCCTAAAGTACCTGACTGCTAACCAGAAGGCTGGTGGTTCAAACCCACCAGCCACTCTTCAGAAGGAAGGTTGGGCAATCTACTTCTGTAGTGATACCACCTCAGAAATCCAAGGAGGGGTTGCTATGAGTTGGATATGACTCTATGGCAGTGGGTTTGGTTTGATTTATGGTAAATGCTAGAACATATACAATTCTGCACAAACAGTAACAGCAACCAAAAATTTGTGAGTAGTTACACACATAGTTATGTATGCACATGACAGTACATGTGTGTGCACATGGGTATAACTGTAGGCATTTGTGTACAGATTTTTATATGTGCTGCATAAATATTCATATATATAATAGAGCACATAGAGGCACAGTTACAGAAAACTCAGGCATATCCAAACACCTCATGAGACTGGGTTTGAAGGCTCATGACTATAGTTCTCAGGGGACATCTGGGTCAACTGCAAAACATAATTCATAAAGAGAATGTTCTGCATCTTACTTTGGTGAGTAGCATCTGGGGTCTTAAAAAAGTTTTGAACAGCCATGAGATGACTACTGTTCTCCCATTGGAGCAAAGGAGAGTGATGGAAACCAAAGGCTCAAAGAAACAGTCAGTCCACAGGAACCATATCCTCCTCTAAACTGAGATCAGAAGAACTCGACAGTGCCCAGCTACCACTACCAAATGCTCTGAACAGGGACAACAGAAAGTCCTGGTTAGAATGGGAGAAAAACGTAGAACAAAATTCAAATACATAAAAAAAGACCAGATCTACTGTACTGATAGTAGGTGACTCCTGGAGGTCACCTTTCAGCCAAATAATAGATTGGCCTATAAAATAAACAACAATATCCATGAAGTAAGTGCTCCTTAGAACAATCCACTACCTGAGATTAAATGGGCAACACTTGCCCAAAAGCAAAGATGAGAAGGCAAGGAGGGTTAGAGAAATCAGACAGATGAAACAGCAAAGGTAGGGTGGAAATGGTGAAAGTAATGATACACTGTAGGGACAGCAGCAAATGCCACAGAACAATCTGTGTACAAATGATTGAATGGGAAGCTAATCTGTTGTATAAACTTTCACCAAAAACATAATAAAATGTAAAAAAAAAAAGAATGATATCAAATCATACTGCTAGAATCACCAGAGAAATATTTCCCATTCCAGAGAGAAAATGAAAATTCATTCTAAATCCTATGTAGAGTCCTATGTGAACTGGCCTATCCATGGCTCACTTCCGGTGCTCATCACTTCTCTACTTCATAGTGCCATTACCTGGGATAGCTGTCACGGTAGATGAGCGTTGGAGCAAACAAGAAGTACAAGTACTGGCCAATTGTAGGTATTGGTACAGTGCCTGGAAAAAGAAAACTACGCTTAAATCAGAGGCTCTTTAATATCCCCCAGCAAATCTAAAAGGAATAATAAGTATACAACAGAGTAATCACTTGCCCTTTATTCTTGACCTCCTAAAATGACTTTCTATTATTCTTCTATTAATTGACTATTGCAACTCCTCTACATTAAGTCATTTTAATGACTTTGATAATGAAGTGTTGAAGCAACACTTCAGGGGGAAAAAAAAAAAAGAAAAACATAAGCACTCATGGGTGTAACAAGGCTATTAATATTCCTTAAAAATAATGCTAGGTGATAAGAGTCAAATGATCAATTTTTGAAACTATATGGTGGCGTAGTGCCTAAGGCATTTGACTGCTAACCAGGAGGCTAGCAGTTCAAACCCACCAGCCACTCCTCGGAAGGAAGATTGGGTAATCTACTTCCAAAGAGATACCACCTCAGAAACCCAAGGAGGGGTCACTTTGAGTTGGAGTAGAATACAACTCGATGGCAGGTTTTTTTTTTTTGTTGTTGTTGTTGCTACAAAGGCAAAACAGGAGTAATTAGGAAACAATGAGATAGTCTTCCGAACAAACATGGATCATATATACATAACTCTATACAGAATATAATTTGTCATTCCAGTAAATTCCAAAGGTTGAAATATCCCATCAGGAATCCTTTGAATGAAATTACATACTTGATTTCTTCTTAGCTGACTCCAGTACCCGAGGCACGTTCTCTCTGATAAATGAATGAACCTTCATTACAAAACGAATCTACAGAAGGAAGTTAAAAAAATAAAATGACTTTTCTACCATAGTCTTATATGCAACTTAGAACATAGAACTAGATCATACTCACTCAAAAGAACTTCTTAATTTTGCACACACTAACCCAAGTTCATTCTTATGAAATAAAGCAAATAATAATAATAAAAAAAAAAACCTCCAAAGAAAGACAAGTTGTTACTCTAAAATTATTTTCTGTTGAACAGCACTACATGTTACAGTATGGCGCAGTGGTTATGTGCTTGGTTGCTAACCAAAAGGTCAGTGATTTGAACTCACCTAAGGGAGAAAGATGGAGCAGTCTGGTTCCATAAAGATTACAGCCTTGTAAATAACAACAATAAACCCTGTGGGGCAGTTCTACTCTGTCCCATAAGGTTGCTATTAGTTTGAATCAATATAAATTTGACAGTAGAGAGTAGGTTTAAATAAAGTCTACTGAAATGGTAATTTCTTTTAGACAAACAAAATAAAGACTGAATCTTCTCTATAAGGTATTTTGACATCATTTTGTTGTTAGGTGCTGGTTTTCACTCCTAGCAACACTATGTACAACAGAATGAAACACACCCAATCTTGTACCATCCTCACAATCGTTGCCATCCTTGAGCTCATCTTCTCAGTCACTGTGTCAATCCATTTCATTGAATGTCTTCTCTTTTTTCACTGACCCTCTACTTTACCCAGAATGATATCCTTCTCTAGGGACTGGTCTCTTCTGACATGACCAAAGTATGAGAGATGAAGTCTGGCTATTCTCATTTCTAAGGAGTGTTCCAGCTTTACTTCCTCCAAGACAGATTTATTCATTTTTCTAACAGTCCATAGTACATTCAACATTCTCCACAGCACCAGAATTCAAATGCATCAATTCATCTGTGGTCTTCCTTATTCACTGTCCAGCTCTCACATGTATTATGAGGCTACTGAAAAAACCACGGCTTGGGTCAGGCGCACCTTAGTCTTCAAAGTGACATCTCTGTTCTTTAACCCTTTTAAAGAGGTCTTCTGTAGCAGGTTTGCACAATGCATTATGTTTGATATCTTGACTGTTGTTTCCATGAGTGTTAATTGTGGATTAAAGTAAGATGAGATCCTTGACAACTTCAATATTTTGTCTATTTATCATGATGTTGCTTACTGGTCTAGTTGTGAAGATTTTTATTTTCTTTATGTTCAGGTGTAATATTGAAGGCTGCAGTCTTTGATCTTCATCAAGTACGATCTTCATATATGGTCATTATTAGAGCTCTTAGATTTTAAATTAATTTAAGAACTTAATTTACTTTAACTTTTCTTCTATTTTATTACATGATCTTATGTGAACATTCAAAACGTTAATTTAATTTAGTAAAAAAAAAAAAAAGCATAGTTAAGTTTTTAAAACTGTGGCTAGCATTATAAAGCTAGTAAGTCAGAAAAATTCTGAAGTGTAGAATCAAATTAAATAAATCTTTTATTTAGATTTAAAAAAAAAAACCTCACTGCCATCAAGTCAGATATGACTCATAGCAACCCCTCCTTGGGTTTACAGGGCAGTTATCACTACAGAAGTAGATCATCTAATCTTCCTTCCTATTTATTTAGATGGAAATCATTTTATGATAAAACAATGATTTGGCATATTGAAAGCAGTTTTTAATCATATAAATATTTTTATAACTTAGACGATTTTTATAAAACATTTAAGAATAAAATTTTAATTTATTCAGAACAGTTCAGTATAATTTCTTAAGAGGTGAGATAATCCAGCTTAACATTTTAATTTTACATATAATGGCACAATAAACCAGATCAGACAATTTATTCAACTTAATACAGCTAAAAATAACAGAATATCTGTATTGTGGTAGTGGTGGTGGTGGTTATCTTAACTAAGCATAGCACTGCTTTCAACAACACTCAAAACCTTACCTGTTCAAGTATAACAATGATTCGGGAAGCTGGTGGCAGTGTATATGCTAATGTAACATATGTTGGTCCAAAACCTAAACCTCCAATCTGGAAGAATACGAAAAGTGAGCCGTAGACAACAGAATGAAGCACTGGGTAGGAACTCTTCCTGTATCCATTGGCCCAACGGTGAAAAAGGAAATAGGGAATTGAAAGTGTAGACAGGAACATGGCGCACCAGGTCCAGATAACAATAGGCAATTTGCCAAAAGCATAAGATAGAAGACTGAACTCAAGCACCAGCCTGGGGTGAAAAAGAAAAAAGAACATAGAAGTAAATTTTTAATACAATTGAGTTCACAGACACAAAACTTTTAATCTTAGGAAACATTACAACATTAAGCCAAAGCTATACTGGTGCTGCTAGATAGAACAAAAAACCGAACCCACTGCCAGTGAGTCAGTTCCAACTCACAGTGACCCTACAGGACAGAGTAGGACTGCCCCCATAGGTTTTCCAAGGCTATACCTCTTTACAGAAGCAGACTGCCTCATCTTTCTCCTGTGGAGTGGCTGGCATGTTCGAACCACTGATCTTCTGAGTAGAAACTGAATGCTTCAACCACTGCACCACCAGAGTTCCTATGCTGCTAGACAGAGACTCACTTTTTACTAGTAAAGTCTAGCCTTCTGCTTCACAATAACATCTCAACAACAAATTTTACTAAAAGCTCTAAGATAATATGGTCAAAGACTCATCTTCTCAGAAATTTGATGTTCACATTAATTAGATTTTTTTAAATTCTAAAATAAACTATAATAAAAGTAACACTGAAAGTCTTTAAATGCTATCACTTATGTAGTATGAAAGCTTTTTTTAAAAAAAGGAAAAAAGAGTAAAAAATGCATTAATATATAATTATATCATTATCTCAAAATTTAATTTTCTAACAAAGCACTTAATTTAACTCATGATTACCACAGACCATCTTTTGCAAAGTAACAATCAAACTTTTACAATAAAAGAATTAAATGTATTTTCCAAACTTTAAATTTGAGTATGTTATTTATTTTTAATGACATACTGCCTCCCATACTAGAAAATGTCATAAATCATACATACAAAATTCTCCCATTTGGAAAAATTACCTAGAAACTACTATTAAAATAAACCATTTAAAAAATACAAGTAATGAAATTTTTTCATTTTCATTTTGGTTATACTTTTCAGGGGAGAGGACTATCACCCTCAAATCAACTGCTCAGGGATTTCCTAGAGCAATTTTGACCAAATTACTTTTTAATAAAATTTAAAGATGGTGAAAACTCCCAACATCTCTCAAATCAAACAGCTTTTTTGTTGTCTTACCTTCCTTCATCAATGTAATCTACTACCACTGTGCTGAGGATAAAGATAACGAGGAGGGCAATAAACATGTGGTATATTGTTCTGATGTGGTCCACCTCAAGCAGCTCACTGTGAATGTAGTTCAAAAAATAAAATTAATAATCTGTATTTAACTTAAAAATCTGTTAAGACTGATCTTTAAAGCACTTCAGAAGATGCTTAATTCCTCTCCAAAATAATCTAAAAATAAACAGTAATATACAACTTTATGGAGCTCTGGTAGCATAGTGCCTAAGGCACTTGACTGCTAACCAGAAGGCTGGTGGTTCAAACTCACCAGCCACTCCTTGGAAGGAAGGTTGGGCAATCTACTTCCATAGTGATACTGCCTCAGCAACCCAAGGAGGGGTTGCTATGAGTCGGGTCTGACTCGACAGCACATAACAACAACAACAACAACAACATACAACTTTATAAATTAAACCTTTAATACACACATATTAAATAACACAACCAAGATTTAAAAAAAATTAATGTAAGAGCTTAGGACAAGGCTCTTCTGAAAAAAATGATACTGTCTCTTAGAATACAGTGTGGATACCAAATTCTTATATCAACTGATGATCTGCATTCTTGGGAACCTACTAGGAATAACTGTTTTCTAGGTAAGCAAAAAGGCCACTGAAAGCAGGAAGCAGGGAAACCATTTCAAATGCTAAAAGGACTTTAAAAAAAATGCTATCCTTAAATTCCACTCCACACACTTAACTCAATTAATATATATTAAGTACTATTGGTTTCCAAGAAGTCAAGATTGACACAAGAGTTTCTATAATGATGATATTATCATCCTACACATCCATAAAGGTTAAATATTTAAAAATTTTTTTTCATTCCCTCTAGCCTCACTCATATTTTCATCTGATTAAAACTACAGTACTTTTCTTTCCGAATACAGCAATGAAATAAGTATCTTTTGAATTTAACTAAAAGTTTTTAATCCTGAATTTTACAAAAAATGTATGTCAACTTTCTGAGTGACTTTTCAGAGAATCTAAAATATTATTAAATCTCTGGATTAAAAATCTTCAAATGCTAGAAAAATTCATCTAAGCTACAGAATACTGTTCTATTTCCTTGTTTAATTTTTTAAAATTCAAGTATATTTTCATTTTTCTCAGTACAATTTGTTTCTTGTACAATTTTATCCTTGAAATCTAATTATAATACTTGAAATTTTTTTATTTTTCCTTTCATATGAAAATTCTTATGGATTTTTTCCCCAGATATAAACTTTAAAAGGTAAATATCTTCAAATAATTATGTGGCAAAACAATGTACTACAATTTTATGTTACATGCTCAGGAAACTCTGGCTTTCTCAGGAATTTTAAGTAGTATACATCAATTTGGTTTATAGAAAACAAATTTTGGTAAGCATCAGATATAGTTGAAAGAAAAGCACTGTAAGACACTTAAGACAGCTTTCCACCAACTCAACTATTTCAGCTGGGCTAATCTAAGGCAGTACCATGGACTGACATTAGAACTAACAGATCTGTCCTGGAAGCAGTGCAGCCAGAACACTCCTTGGAAGCAAGGATGGCCAGACTTCGTCTCACTTACTTTGGTCATGTTGTCAGAAGGGACCATTCCCTAGAGAAGGATATCATGCTTGGTAAAGTGAAGGGTCAACGAAAGAGGGGAAGGCCCTCAATGAAAATGGATTGACACAGTGGCTGCAATGATGGGCTCACAGCTAGCAATGACTGTAAAGATGGTGCAGGGCAACATTTCGTTCTACTGTACACAGGGTCACTCTGAGTTGGAGCCGACTCGACAGCACCTAACTACAACAACAATCTAATGCAGGTTTCAATTTCAGCAGTGTAAATAAAATAAATAAATGATATACTCAGAGAGCATAAAGAAGAAATATCCATCATCTACCAAAAGTGCACCTATACTTTCAGTTCACAAATGAGGTATTCACAAATAATTTATATTTCCTAACATTATTTTCATAAAATCTACACAATAAAAGTTCTTAATTAAGTACTTGGAAAACTAAAAAGTCTCTAAACTGAGCCAAAGATAAGGTAAAAAATAAAACTACATATCAATAACTCTAAAACTCTCTTGAACTGTTTAACCCAATATCAAATTTTTCCTCTAGTTCTTTGGGTAACCAGCTGCCTGTGGCATATAATCTTATTACTACCCCTGCTTTGATGTACTGATGAAGATCAGAGACTACAGTCTTCAGTATGGATGACACCTCAAAATAAAGAAAACAAAAATCCTCACAACTGGACCAATAAGCAGTATCATGATAAATGGAGAAAAGATTGAAGCTGTTAAGGATTTTCTTGACTTGGATCCACAATCAATGCCCATGGAAGCAGCAATCAAGAAATCAGATGACGTACTACATTGGGCAAATCTGCTATAAAAGACCTCTTTAGAGTGTTGAAAAGCAAAGGTGTCACTTTGAGGACTAAGGTGGGCCTGGTATTTTCAGTTGCCTCATATGCATGTGAAAGCTGGACAATGAATAAGGAAAACTGAAGCAGAAGTGATACATCTGAATCATGGTGTTGGTGAAGAATACTGCCATGGATTGTCAGAAGAACAAACAAATTTGTCTTGGAAGAAATACAGCCAGAATGTTCCTTAGAAGGGAGGATGGCGAGACTCTATCTCATGTATTTGGGACATGTTATCGGGAGGGACCAGTCCCTGGAGAAGGACATCATGCTTAGCAAAGTAGAAGGTCTGTGAAAAAGAGGAAGATCCTCAACAAGATAGACTGACACAGGGGCCGCTATGATGGGCTCAAACACAGCAATGATCATGAGCATGGTGTAGGACCAGCAGTGTTTCATTCTGTTGTACACAAGGTTCCTATGAGTCAAAGTAACTCAATGTCACTGTGGTAGTTATGTCTGTATGTCAACTTGGCTAGGCCTGGTTGAATGGCTGGGCAGCTGGTGGTATTTATTCTCCATGATGAGACTGGCAATCAATTCCATGGTGGGATCTACCACAAGCAGCTGAGTAGCTGCCTTTGGGATGTGGTCTGCTTCCTGTATATAAGGAGAAGCTTTGGGAATGGTCTCTAGCCTGTGGCATGCTGGGACACTGCATGTAGCTATGTCATTGCTCAGCAGCCTGCCATGCTCTGCCGGCCCTGGGACTTACAATGAACTTAAGTTAATGGCCCACCATGTGGTTTGGTAACATCAGGACTGTGCCTTTTTACTTGCCAGCCTTGGGGTTTCTCAGCCTCTGCAGCCAGGAACTGTCTGAGTGAAGAAATGCCTCTAGCTCCAGTGGGCCAGGAGCAGGAGGCAGAGCTGAACCCCAAGGTTGAGGGGCTTTCACCCAGCCCCTAGAGCCTGGCACTTTAAACTTGGACTTAAAGCCTCCAAAATGTAAGAATAAACTCCTGTTTGTCAAGGCCATCCCATTTGTGGTATATTCTTGTCAGAGCAGCACTAGGTAACCAGAACAGTCACCTAACAACCACCTTTGAAAACAGATACAGAAACAGATGATCAGAAAGAATGAACAAGAAATATCAAAATTAATTATTTATGTTAATACAGTACAAACTTATTAAACATTCAATGATTAAGCAGTGATTCTAACATCAGGGTAGTGGTTTTTTTGTTTCTTAAATTCAAACTAAAAATCAACAACAGCACTAAAAGTACTCACTCTAAGAGAGATCGCCTTATGACAAAAAGTTTTCCTTGTTCTGGAGGTGCCCTCAGATCTCTGGGAAGAGTCAAAATGAAAACAAAATATTAGTACTTCAAATATTTTAGGGAGCTCTGATAGCGTAGTACCTAAGGCACTTGACTGCTTAACCAGAAGGCTGGCGGTTCAAACCCACTATCCACACTCCCCAGAAGGAAGATGGGGCAATCTACTTCTGTAGTGATACTGCCTGGGAAACCCAAGGAGGGGTCACTATGAGTCCATCTGACTCGATGGCACATAACAACAAGTATTTTAAGCAATTTATACTTATTTGTAAGAGAAGGAGAATTATCTACTTCAGCTTCCTGTCTTCTCATTGAGCCAGGTACTCTGTGTTAAAGGTTTTAAATGTGTTATCTCATTTCCTCTTTCTGAACAATGCTATGTATGAATACCTACTCAGTACTAGGAATACCTAATTCAAGTGGCATTCAAAGTGTCCCTGGAGTTCAGCTTTCCTCTCATTACACACTGACAGCCATTTTTCCTTCTCCTAACCATATTCCCTGATGACACTGCCTCTAAGGCATACTTCATTCCAGTTCATAAATCATTACTAGTCCGTCCTCTAAAACTGTACTGATATTTATGATGTCCTTCATAACTTCAAAGGACTTCTAAATTCCCAACCGCCTCCTGATTTTAACCATTAGGTTGCTTTCAGTTAACTGAAAACTTGCACTGAACATCTAGTATGACTATTTTCTTTGAGAGCTTTATGCAGTACTGCTGGCACTCTCACTTCCACACTGGTGTCAGCTAGTTCAAAAGTCAGCTAGTTCCTGTTCTTTAAGACAGGAGAGATTGGCAGAGAGACCAAGAGGCATAAAACCGAGGGAAGCATAGAACAGCAAATTAGCACACATTATTAGCCTTTAATAGCCTGACCAATGAAAAAAAATACATACCACTCATGGTGTACTTTATTATAACTATTGTAGAGAATACAAAGGAAAGCAGCATTAATGATGTGGTTAAAAGCATGGACTCCTTGCCAGGCTGGGTTAAAATCCCAGCTTTGTGGCTTTGGACAACATTATATGGCTCTGTGCCTTGGTTTCCTAATGTGCAACATGTAGATAGTTATAGTATCTATCTCATAGAGTCACTATTTGATTTAAATGACTTAACCCATAAAGAGCCCTTAAGAATATTCATAACCAGCACTCAAAAAGTATTGGCTCCATTATTATTATGAATCAGCACAGCCTTAAATGAAGTATACACGTTTGTTATAATCCACATTTTGAAATGAAGAAATTGACATTTCAAGTGGTTAAATAACTTATCCAATGCAACACACGGCCAATAAAAGGTGGTGCCAGGGTGCAAACGCAGGCATTCTTATTGAAGAGCCTACGCTGTGACAACTAGATTATACTAGATGATTACGTTAAAAGGAAATAATACGCATACTTACTGAACTCTGTAGTTGTTTTTCTCTCCTTCAAGAACAGAAAAAGATGTGAGAGCACACCCACCATTTTCTAATGATGCTGATTTTTCAATGAGATTGGTCACAAAATCATCAAAGTGATTCCCAACTTCCTTCATAAAAAATGGCTTCAATTGCTTCCGAATTTCAAAAGAAATAAAGAAAACATTAGAGACTAAAACACACTTGTGGGTCATTATCTTTTCTAAAGCACTCTCTTAAACAGAGCTGGATCAAAAGAATGTCATACTAGGTGAGTGAGTTCACAGTGTTAAAGCCGACCTCTCATTTCAGAAATGGCTACTGAAAAAGCAACAGATTTATATTTCTTTTTAAAATTCATACGTTTTAAGCAAGAATCAAGACACCAAAGTAATCACCTACAAAGTGAACTCCTAAAATGATACATAAAAATCAAAGTAACAGACAACATAAAAACAGCAGGCTATTCTTTTTTTCTTCAAGTTTTTATTTATAGCACATTGTTTTTACTAATAGCAGACCTACATTTCTACAGTAATATTTACTCATACCCCCATAGCTTATTTTACCTAATCATAAAGATGTATATTTTTCATAAAATTGTTACACATTTTCATCTCAGAGTATTCTTAAAACTTACATATTCACAGGTTTTGAAAAGTAAAAACAGAAAAATATTTCTTTGGACTATAAGCCACCTAAGCAGTCACCCAAATTTTGAGTCTTTTAAAACTGGCAGAATTTAGCAACATAAAGGGAAACAAAGGGTTCATTGCTAATTCTTCACATAAAAAAAAAAAAAATGTTCTTTCCCTCTGACTAAATCTTTTCTTTTAAAAAAAATGAACTCTAGGTTCTGTTATACTGAAAGAGCTGGGAAAAGTCCTCTAAAAGTAAAAAGTCTAAAAACATGAACATACCAATAAAACTACATAAAGGTTTTTAAACTTTGTTCTGTTCCTGTATCCCTACTGGGTCCAACCTAGGCAATGAGAATACACTAAGGTCCCAGCTCTTACTGGAACACTGATGGAGTTGGAAAATAAAATACACACACACATAAATGACACACAGTAGGTTACCTAAGGACCACGTGAGCAATATAACCTACCAATAAAGACCGCAAGAACACATTAGAGTTTAGCAAATAAAAACTACAGGAGTGAGTTGACTGGAACTGTCTTTTTCAACTGAAATCTTAAAGCAATGGGAATCAAGTACACCTACAAATAAGCAAAAAGATGACACAAAGGAAAAAATATTGTTCTTGTCATTTAAGCTCTAGAATTTGAGTATTTTTTTTAAAAAGAAGTTTTTTCCGGTCACAAAAATTTTATCCCATGTAAAAATATACTAAAAAGAGATTAAGGGAAAGAAAGGATTCATTCATTTCACCAAGTCCCTGTCTTCATGCAGTTTATAATTCCAGTGGGGGTAGCATGGCAGATAACACAGGAGGGGAGTGTGTTGTTTTTCACACAGAGGAGAATTCCTCAAAATAAAAATTCCTCAAAAATAAGATGACATTTGAGAAGATTTCAAGAAGCTAAGAGAGTAAGATGATATCCAAGTTATCTGTGGGAAAATTATAAGGAAGAAGAAAGTATTAAGTGTAAAAGCCCATTAAATTTGTACTGAACATTAAAAGAAAAGCATGGGAGAAATTCTGAGAAGATGGCAGGAAGAGTAGGTCTCTAATATTCTGACTATACCACACAAGCACCAAAAAAAGCAACTACAGAAATCTGTCTACCACTCATCTGTCAGTCTGTCATACTGTGGTGGCTTGTGTGTTGCTGTGAGGCTGGAGGCTATGTCACAGATGTTTCAAATGCCAGCAGGGTCACCCATGGTGGGCAGGTTTCAGTGGAGTTTCCAGACTAAGACAGACTCGGAAGAAGGAAGGGGCCATCCACTTATCAAATAAATGGCCAGTGAAAATCTCATGAAGAGCAGTGAAACTCTGTCTGATATATTACTGGAAGACATTATAAACAGCCCTGAAACATTGTCTGATATAGTGCCACAAGATGAGCCCCTCAGATCACAAGACACTCAAAATACAACTGGGAAAGAGCTGTCTCCTCAGAGTAGAGCTGACCTTAATGATTTGGATGGAGTAAAGCTTTTGGGACTTCCATTTGCTGATGAGGCATGATTCAAAATGGGAAGAAACAGCTGCAAAAACATCCATTAATAACCAGAACATGAAATGTAAGAAGTATGAATCTAGGAAAATTGGAAGTTGTCAAAAATGAAATGGAATGCATAAAGATCGACATCCTAAGTATTAGTGAGCTGAAGTGGACTGGTTTTGGCTATTTTGAATCAGACAACTATATGATCTACTATGCCGGGAATGAAAAATTGAAGAGCAATGGCGTGGCATTCATCATCACAAAGAGTGTTTCAAGATCTATCCTGAAATACAATGCTGTTAGTGATAGGATAATATTCATACACCTACAAGGAACACCAGTTAATACTACTATTATTCAAATTTATGCACCAACTACCAAAGCCAAAGATGAGGGAATTAAAGATTTTTTTAACAACTGCTACAGTTTGAAATTGACCAATCCTGCAATCAATATGTGCTTATTATCACCGGTGATTAGAATGCCAAAGTTGGAAAACCAAGAAGGATCACCAGCAGTTGGAAAATATGGCTTCAGTGATAAAAATAACACTGGAGATCACATGATAGAATTTTGTAAGGCAAACAACTTATTAATTGCAAATATCTTTTTTCAACAACATAAGCAATGGCAATACATGTGGACTTTCCCAGATGGAGTACACAGGAATCAGACTGACTATATCTGTGGAAAAAGACGAGGGAGAAGCTCAGTATCTTCAGCCAAAACAAGGCCAGGAGCTAATTGTGTAACAGACCATCAACTGCTCATATGCAAATTCAAGTTGAAGCTGAAGACAATTAAAACAAGTCCATGGGAACTAAAATATGACCTTGATTATATACCCCTTGAGTTTAGAGACCGTCTAAAGAATAGATTTGATACTTCAAACACCAATGACCGAAAACCAGAGGAACTGTGGGATGACATTAGGAATATCATCCATGAAGAAAGCAAATATTATAAAGACAGGAAAGGAAGAAAAGACCAACATGGATGTCAGAAAAGACTCTGAAACTTGTCCTTGAACGGGAGTAGCTAAAGAAAATGGAAGAAGTGACAAGATAAAAGAGCTGAACGGAAGATTTCAAAGAGCAGCTCGAGAAGACAAAGTCAATTATCACAATGAAATGTGTGAAGACCTGGAGTTAGAAAACCAAAAGGAAAGAGCATGCTCAGCATTTCTCAAGCTGAAAGAACTGAAGAGAATATTCAAGCCTTGAGTGGCAATACTGAAAGATTCTATGGACAAAATATTGAATGATATAGGAAACATCAAAAGAAGATGGAAGGAATACACAGTCACTGTACCAAAAAGAATTGGCCGATGTTCATCCATTTCAACAGGTGGCATACATCCAAGAATCAATGGTATTGAAGGAAGAAGTTGAAACTGCACTTAAGAAGTGGTGGAAAACAAGGCTCTGGGAATTGATGGAATACCCATTGAGATGTTTCAACAAACAGATGTCGTGCTGGAGGCACTCACTTGGCTATGCCAAGAAATTTGGAAGACAGCTACCTGGCCAACTGACTGGAAGAAATCCATATCTGTACCCATTCCAAAGAAAGGTAATCCCACAGAATGTGGAAATTATCAAACAATATCATTAATATCACACACAAGTAAAATCTTGCTGAAGATAATTTAAAAACAGTTGTAGCAATATACTGACAGGGAAATTCCAGAAATGCAAGCTGAATTCAGAAGAGGACGTGAAACGAGGGATATCATTGTTGATGTCAGATGGATCTTGGCTGAAAGCAAAGAATACCAGAAAGATGTTTACTTGTGTTTTACTGACTATGCAAAAGCATTTGATTGTGTGCATCATAACAAACTGTGGAAAACATCGGGAAGAATGGGAATTCCAGAATACTTGATTATGCTCATTAGGAACCTGTACATAGATGAGAAGGCTGTCATTTGAATAGAACTAGGGGATACTGCGTGGTTTAAAATCAGGAAGGCAGTGCATCAGGGTTGTATCCTTTCACCATACTTGTTCAATCTGTAAACTTAACAAATAATCCAGAAGACTCATTAACAACCTGTGATATGCAGACGACACAACATTGCTTGCTGAAAGTGAGGACGACTTGAAGTACTTACTGATGAAGATTAAAGACTGCAGTATGGATTACTCCTCAATATAAAGAAAAGAAAGATCCTCACAACTGTACCAATAAGCAGCACCACAATTAATGGAGAAAAGATTGAAGTTGTTAAGGACTTCATATTACTTGGTTCTACAAAGAAACACCAATGGAAGCAGCAGTCAAGAGATCAAATGATGTATTGTAATGGGCAAATCTGCTGCAAAAGACGTCTTTAAAATGCTGAAGACCAAAGATGTCTCCTTGAAGACTAAGGTGCATCTAGCCCAAGCTATGATATTTTATATCGCCTCATATGCATGTGAGAGCTAGAGAATGGATAAGGAAGACTGAAAAAGAGTTGATGCTTTTGAGTTGTGGTGTTGGCGAAGATTACTGAAAGTACCATGGATTGTCAGAAGAACCAACAGATCTGTTCTGGATGAAGTGCAGCCGGAATGCTCCTTGGATGCAATAATGGTCAGACTTCATCTCGTTTATACTTTGGTCATGTTGTCAGTAGGGATCATTCCTTGAAGAAGGATACCATGCTTGGTAAAGTAGAGAGTCAATGAAAAAGAGGAAGGCCCTCAATGAGATGGATTGACACAGTGGCTGCTACCATGGGCTCAGGCATGGCAAGGATTGTGAGGCTTGTGCAGGACCAGGCAGTGTTTCGTTCTGTTGTATGTGGGTGTGGTGTAGTAAACTACTTAGTGTGGCTTTTCTACCCATAAGTCTTTGTAAACTCCAAGGTGGGACTTTCTATGAGCAACTGAGGAGCTCCTGATTGCTAAAGTTGTCCACCTGGAGTATTTCTGTTGGGAGTGGCACAAAACAATGTTCTGGGAGGTGCCCACTCTCTCTCAAGTGCTTAGAGTTCTGATGCTATGATTGGCTAGTTTGACCACCCTGCCGGG